GTATATATATATATATATATAAAAGCTATATATACATCTTATATACTATATATATTCGAATATCTATATATCTTAGATATTTATTTTAACATCCTTTTGTCTCTAATATTTATTTATTTTTTTATTTTATTTTTAAAAAATATTGGGCCCACTTAGCCCGTTTAACCCGCGGCCTGGGACCAAACGGTTCCGGTTCCAGGTCGGTCCTTAGAAAAGACCCGTTTAGGCCCGGGCCCGTTTGAACCAGCCCACTTAACCCGTTTAGGTCCGGGACCGGCCCACTTGCCAGGCCTACCAGTGGGCTTTGAGCCCAGGTCTACATGGCCTATTATTCTTTTGGTCTAAGGCTCACTGCCAGAAATCTAGTANTGGGCTTTGAGCCCAGGTCTACATTGCCTATTATTCTTTTAGTCTAAGGCTCACTGCCAGAAATCTAGTAAAATATGTGGTAAAACAAGAGTAGTAATTGAGTTAAAAGAAAGTTAATTTCTAAAAATTGGTAAATACTGAAAAGACACATGATAATTAAGGAATTCCTCCCTTAGAGAATCTTTTAGGAAACTTCGAGGAAGGTGTTGAAAATGATTAATTTGCAAAGAAGATGTAGAAGGGGTCTATTATTATTAGGGACTGTTGGAGTAAAAACTGAAAATAAGAGGGGTAAAACAAAAAGGGAAATTTTAAAAGATCCCTAACCAATAATCTATAAATAAGGCATTCCTCCTCACACTTTGGGCATGTATTCACAGTCTAAACAATTCACACACATACCCATTTCACTCTGAAAATTCAGCAGTATTCAAAAACAGCTGAAAACCAAAAATTTCTAAAATCAAAAAAATTCAAAAAAGAGATCTGAGATCAAAGACTCCAAAAACAGTAGAAAACTTAGGATTTCAAAATGATTTGAAGAGTGTTTCCACCTGTGACTGATTATTCCTTACTTGTTGGGTTCCAAAGGAGTAATTCCATCTCAAAAACTCTATTAATTGTTGTTGATTCGCTGTTGATTCTATGGTTTCGTAGCTGAGCTCCCTCTTCGAATTTTCTAACCTTTATTTGGTCCTAAATCTCTCTCGTTGTTCAGGTTTTAACTTAGTGTTTCTTATAGATCTCTAAATGTATTGAGTTTTATGATGATATGGCATGTTTTGGTTATAAAATTTAAATGCATTCCTTGACTCGTGTTGCTGACACTTAAGTAGTTTGTAATTCCTCAAATTGAAATCATGTTGGTTCTTCATAGATCTATGTGTGTCCAGATCCATTATTGCTCTTCGCGCGATTAATGCTTTTAGATAAGATGTCACAAAGTCAAATCTAGTATGTTTTTGTGACAATATTTCTGTGTTTGAGTAAAAACAAAAATCTGCCTCTAATTGTAACAGATTGATTTGTGTTTAGCTTAGTATGATACGTGTTAGCAATTTGAGAATTAACATCTTCATGTTATTGGTGATTGTGAACACTTAATAAATTTGTGAGTGATCGGGCTTGAGTTTGCTAGCCACTGAAATTTTTCAGCACATGAGTTTGAAGGTTGAATGAAGAGTTTAAACTTGTACGAGTCAAAGGCATCAGGAGATATGAATTGTACCCGGAAAACATCAAAGGAAATCGCCCCCAGACAACATTCAATGCGGATGCCGTCAAAAGTTACTATGTTTGACCCATTACTCAGTGTAACAATTCCCTGGTTGAGATAACGAAGGCTTTTATTTTTCACTACCCAAAACACCATTAATTCTTTTGCCAAGCCTTTGGGCCGGTTATCTTTCTTTATTTACCCTCTTTGGAACCTTATTGTAAAAAGAAAAGAAGAAGAAGAAAACTGATATATTCAAAAGGCACCCAGCCTCGGCAAAGACATCAAGTCAACCCCGACTGGCCATGATTGGCAGATGCTTTGAAATTGAGAACTTTGGAAGAAATAAATCAAATTGAAATGCCCACAAAGGCAAAATAAAATTGAAAAGGTTAAGTCCCGTCCGACTAACCATCACGATAAAGGTTTGAAAAGCTAAAAGTGTCCCAGGGCCAGGAAGTCAATTGGTAATCCGAAAATAACCGGCCGCAGTCGAAATCATCATCAAAAGAAGATGGGCCGAGATCAAGAGTCTGAAGCACTCAAGGCCACAAAACCAACCACTGGTCCGAACTAAAAATTGTTCTTTGTTGAGATACACGAAACAGGTACAATGCAAAGACAACCTTGAAAGAAGCAGGTACAACCAAAAATAATCATGCGGAGATTGAAAACAGCTCTACAACACAAAAACCCACAAAAAAAACGAAAGTCTTCTTAAAGTTCTTTCCCACATTTCGCTCATATTTTAACTGCATTCACAATCATGCTAGTATAGAGCACACCAATCCCTATATGCATTTTTCAACATAGGGCACATCATACCCTAGTTGATGATCTTAAATGTAGGGTAAGGGTGGCAAGTGGGCCGGTCCAAACGGTCCCGGTCCCGGATCGGTCCCAAATTAAACGGGCTAAACGGTCCCGGCCCGCGGGCTAAATAGGCTAAGTGGGCTAAGTGGGCCCAACGAATTTTTAAAAAATAAAAAAAATAAATAGATATTAGATNATATATAGTATATAAGATGTATATATAGCTTATCAAATATAGCTTATATATATACTATACTATAATATATACTGAGTTGAGCTAAAACTTGATCTTTTATCCTTCCATATTTATACCAGCTAAGAAGTACCATACTTTGGTCCTTTCATGTTACTACTAAAAAGTAAATATATACTAAGTGTAGAGTATATATATATATATATATATATATATATATAGTATAGTTTAGTATATATAGTATAGTTTAGTATATATATGTAATGTAGGGTACACCATTTCGTGATCTCATTGCTAATATAGCGTACACCACTCCCTAGTCTCTTTACCAGTATAGGGTACATCATTCCCTAGTTAATGATCTTAAATGTAGGGTACAACATTCCCTGATCTCATTGCTAATATAGGGTACATTACTCCCTAGTCTCTTTTTCAGTATAGGGTACATCACTCCCTAATCTCTTTTTCAGTATAGGGTACACCAATCCCTAATTGTGTTTTTCAACACAGGGTACACCATTAACAAACCAGATTGATTATATGGAAGAACTAGGTTGCATGTACAGGTTACTGTGAGCACGTAATTTTTGCCTCACCTGAAATTGCTCCTAAAAGGTCTAAAAATAGTATTATCAATTATTTTGATTTTTCTTGAAACTTTAAAGATTTTTTCTTTGTTAGTTTGTATGCATTATTTGTATTACTAAGAGCATGTTAAATCATAGAAAATCACCAAAAATACCTTTTTATTTCATTCATCGTATTTTCAGATTCTAATTGCATTGCTGGCACTCAAATGCCTGCTAATTGCAGTTTTTATTAAACACAAAATCATAAAAATATATTAGCTAATAACTCTGCATTTTTGGACCTACTTACTCACATAATTAGTAGGATAATTTATAATTTTTATAGTAAGTCATTAGATAGAATCAGTTAGTAGGATAATTTTGCAAATGGTATGTCAGTTGATTAGTGGCTAATTGTAAAATGAAGAAGAAGGGAGGATAAGGCTACTAAGCTCAAAATGAGACTGGGCCACGATTTTGGGCCCAGTTTTACTAAGAATACCCGTGCAGTACAATTCAATACCCGGTCCAAACAATCTTAGCATCAGACCATCTAAACAAAGTAGTCTCGCAACATAGCTATGTCATTTCACTGATTTTCCCTTTATAATAAAAATGATTGATAAAAATTCAATATTTATACACCACCCCTAATCCCCATTCTCTCTCATCTCTCTTGGGCGGCCAAAAATTGCTTTCACCGCCCACTGTCCTCCTTCCGCCTTCACGCCGTGGAGGACCACCGTCTGATCGCCGCCGAAAATCGCCACGGCGGCGGACCACCACCAATTGGCTAAATATTTTCACCAGATACTCCTCACTCCTCCTCGTCCCTAATTTCTCAACCATTTCCGTAAAAATCCACCCAAACTCCACGATTAGTAGACCTGGGAATTTAAGTCTTTCTTGATTCCTCTTCTATTCTTACACGTCTGAGGTTAAAATTCACACTAATCGACATCTCTTGATGAGTATTGTCGATTGGTGGTGGTTTCGTCTCATTTCGTGGCCATCGGGGCCCGATCAAATTCTGGTTGACCGGCCAGTCCTCTCAAAGCTTCTTCGTTCATCACCTCCAGCATGCAAGAGCTATTGCTACATATAGCACTGGCCGGCGTGACAAATTTTGGTTGGTGCTTGTGTAGCAATCCTCTGGCTCATCGGAATTTTCTCTTGACAGCTCGGTTTGATCCAATAGGTATACTCTTCCCTCCTCTTCTTCTATGGTTTTTTTATGTGTTGTCATTTTTTTTATTTATAGGTGAATAATCGCATATTTTAATTATTGATCAAATAGCATTAGAAGTTAAGAGTATTCTTCTGTTAGTTCGATTTTGTGTTAGCTAATTAGTTTATGAGTTGGCTTATTTTTTATTTTTGTTGTAAATTTTCCATATATTTTGTTAGTGTTTAAATACTCTCTTAGTTAGTTTGGTTCAAATTTAAATGAAATTAGGCTAGGTCATTAACAGACTTGTCAAAAATACAAAAGACCAGTGGGCTTTGAGCCCAGGTCGACATTGCCTATTATTCTTTTAGTCTAAGGCTCACTGCCAGAAATTTAGTGAAATATGTGGTAAAACAAGAGTAGTAATTGAGTTAAAAGAAAGTTAATTTCTAAAAATTGGTAAATACTGGAAAGACACGGGATAATTAAGGAATTCCACCCTTAGAGAATCTTTTAGGAAACTTCGAGGAAGGTGTTGAAAATGATTAATTTGCAAAGAAGATGTAGAAGGGTTTGTTATTATTAGGGACTGTTGGAGTAAAAACTGAAAATAAGAGGGGTAAAACAAAAAGGGAAATTTGAAAAGAGCCCTAACCAATAATCTATAAATAAGGCATTCCTCCTCATACTTTGGGCATGTATTCAGAGTCTAAAAAATTCGCACACAGACCCATTTCACTCTGAAAATTCAGCAGTATTCAAAAACAGCGGAAAACCAAAAATTTCTAAAGTCAAAAAAATTCAAAAAAGAGATCTGAGATCAAAGACTCCAAAAACAGTAGAAAGCTTAGGATTTCAAAAGGATTTGAAGAGTGTTTCCACCTGTGACCGATTATTCCTTACTTGTTGGGTTCCAAAGGAGTAATTCCATCTCAAAAACTCTATTAATTGTTGTTGATTCGCTGTTGATTCTATGGTTTCGTAGCTGAGCTCCCTCTTCGAATTTTCTAAACTTTATTTGGTCCTAAATCTCTCTCGTTGTTCAGGTTTTAACTTAGTGCTTCTTATAGATCTCTAAATGTATTGAGTTTAATGATGATATGGCATGTTTTGGTTATGAAATTAAAATGCATTCCTTGACTCGTGTTGCTGACACTTAAGTAGTTTGTAATTCCTCAAATTGAAATCATGTTGGTTCTTCATAGATCTATGTGTGTCCAGATCCATTATTGCTCTTCGCGCGATTAATGTTTTTAGATAAGATGTCACAAAGTCAAATCTAGTATGTTTTTGTGACAATATTTCTGTGTTTGAGTAAAAACAAAAATCTGCCTCTAATTGTAACAGATTGATTTGTGTTTAGCTTAGTATGATACGTGTTAGCAATTTGAGAATTAACATCATCATGTTATTGGTGATTGTGAACACTTAATAAATTTGTGAGAGATCGGGCTTGAGTTTGCTAGCCACTGAAGTTTTTAAGCACATGAGTTTGAAGGTTGAATGAAGAGTTTAAACTTGTACGAGTCAAAGGCATCAGGAGATATGAATTAATTATCGGAAACCTTATTTGTTATGACATTGTTTAATCCCAGAAATGTAGGATGCTAGTTCATAAAAGCGTTTGTTATTATAAATTCAAGTCAAGATTTCTGATGTAGTGAATTTGGTGTTGTAATTTTAAATCCGGATGAACATGTACTCATGCTTAGATTAGTTCGTAGTTCTTTCATTTTTTGCAATGGTGTATGAAATTTTGAGTTGTAAATCACTGGGCTTTCGTTCCCAAAGGCCATTGGGCCTGAGTAACTGGCCCAGCAAAGTGGCAGAATTAGACTGGAGTCATGAGGACTTTGAACTCCTAGCTAATTTCAGCACCAAACCTATTTAGAGGCCTACAACGTGGCCTGGTTCTTAGAAGGCTCAAAGGATGCCTTGGGCTTTAATCCGAAGCCCATTTGTATTCACAAGTGACTTATTGGATGTCCAATCTGGGTACTCAACAAATTTAGCCCATAAAGTTACCTTCCCAATAATAATCCATGTAGAATTAAATAATTGAAAATAAGAGATATAGTTTAATTACAAGCCACTACTAATTAACTAATGAGGATTCATTTATTAATACAGATAAGTTGTTAATCTACCAAATCTATTTTCTCAACTTTTCTCGTATTTGTTATGAAGCAGGCCCTTAGTGTTTCAAAGTTCGCGAATTCACGAATGAAATTCTATAATTCTTGGACTCCACAAGCAATCTCAAACGTGTTGAAATAAATAAACTTATGAACCCTCGTAGTTGCTTTAGACGCTTATTAAATAAATCTTTGCAGTTATGGGTACGGCTCTCGTGGCATGATTGTGATACGTAACTCCAAATTCAAGGGCACGTCCGCGTGACTTGACCTTACAACTTCAAAGTAATAATAAAAATAAGCATGTTGTAAACTGAGGGTGCATTTCACGTGGCGCAGTTTGCGATATATATAAAACAACAAGTTTTAAAATAATTTCGCAAATACTCAAAATGGTTTAAAGATAAAATCAAAGCGTTAAAAGTTAAAATGTACATAGGATCTAAAACATGTAATAATTAGATAATTTGGCTAAGTGTAATTGAAAGCGACCATGCTAAGATTACGGAATTCGGAAGTGACTCACACCTTCTTCCGGGTTAGCAAAATTCCTTACCCGATATTCTGTATTTCGCAGAATAAAACAGAGTCAAACTTTTCTTGAAATGAAATTTTTAATAAATGGTGACTTGGAACACCGTAATAAATAATTCCAAGTGGCGACTCTTAAAATTAGATAAAATAATTCATTTTCAATAATGTCACTTAAAATAAAAAAATTTCTTTCGGAAAAAAGGAGGTGTGACAGTTACTATGCTACTAGACTAATGTACACATATGTTACTTTGTCAATGAAAGAATTAGGGCCCTTGAAGCAGATGTTTGAAGAGTATGTGCTTAAAAGTGGTTTCAATGATTAACCAATAGCTGACAACGAACTGGATCTCGTGAAGATATTTGTTGTGCTGATATACAGAGTTGCAGATGTATCATGCAAATATCGACAGAACCAGGTCCCTTGAAAATGATGATCAGAAGCTGAAAGCTTATTCCTAGTGCAAGTTAGTTGAGCTGGAATTTTGTTGCAACTTGGATTCCTAATATAAATTATTTCATGGGCTGAACGTATGGTAATAATTAGAGGAATTCATGGTCAACAAGGATTCATTAATTATGGGAATACTTGCATGTGAAGGAGTATTTTAAGGAAAGTCAAATCCTAATGCAAGTCGGATTCCTTAAAGAATTAAATTCGTGGGATACAAGAAAAATATTAGCTGAAGGAATTCGTGTTGGAAAAGGATTCAATAATTATGGAAGTACTTGCATTAAAGGAGAGAAATTAGAAAAAATAAGGAAAACAAACCCTAAAAGGATTCTTTTCCTTAACCGATTTCTTTCAAGTTTTGGAGCATAAATTGGAGAAGGATTTCGTCCGACCTCATGCCTATATAAAGCATCACCTTGCTTCTATTGAAGCTAATGCTATTCAATGAAAATACAGAGAATCATTCAAAGTAAAAAACATTTATAGCAAGAAGGTGCTTTCAAGGATTCAAGTTGCTCAACTGAAGAACCAGGTCCAGAAGACGAAACTGGTGAAATTCTTTAGTTGTTTAGGTTGAGTCAATTGTTCTTAAATTGTAACCTATTTTGCTTTTGAGAAGTGTAAATGTAGGTGATCAAATTCTGAAGTGTTTTGTTTCGGTTTCTAAGCTAGAGTTAGTTTAGAAAATGGTAGCTACAATTGAGTTGATTGTAAGGGAATGGTACTAGAGTTAGTCTCATTTGTTATAGAGTTGTAACATAAAGCTTAACTACAATGGGTTAATTGTAGGGGTAGGGTACTAGAATTAGTCCCCTTGGTTATTGAGTTGTAACCTAAAATTGCTCTTTGAAGTTAGTGAAGTTTTGCAACAAATCCTACTGGGATAGGTCGTGATTTTTTACTCCCTTGAGCAAGGAGTTTTCCATGTAAAAATTATTGTGTTGTTTATATTTTCACACTTCACTTTCAATTTTGTGTCAAAATAGTTTAGCTAAAGAATCGGGTTCTTTGGCATGCAAAAATTGAGTACGACACAATTCACCCCCTCCCTCCCATACCCTTGTGTCTAGGTGCATCCTAAAATAACAATATTTAATGAATAGCCGAAGTTTAAAAAGTGTTTAAAGTTTAGTTGGATCAGAATCAAACTCCATACCCGACAGTCTGAAGTTTTAATTACTGATATGAAGTTTGAGTTGCTAAAGCCTAACTTCATACTAATAGTCTAATTACAGTTTAATTTCAGACCTTCGGGCGAAAGCGGAGCCTAACTTCAAACTCGAAGGTCTGAAGCTTTTGTTTCGACAGTTCAAACTTTTGACCACCGCCTATAAAGTTAGAATCTGACAATTCAAAGCTTTAGACCCGAACGTCTAAAGATAATGAAGAAGAAGAAGAAGAAATAGTAGCAGAACGATCTGATATTTTGCTGAAACTAGCTAAATTTTTAAATAGTTTTATAAACTAGATTTGTTTTAAATAGGGGGGTCTCAAAGTAGCTACTTGGGCCTGGTGGATAATGACAAATGTTAACCATTTTGTCACCCCTACTTCCATGTATGGCCCATTGGCTCAGTTGAAGAAGCTGTGTTGAAGTTTTTTAACTGAAATACTTTTCCTTGAGGAGTTTTTAAAACAAAGATATTTTTAAGATAGTTATTGTTGTTTAGAAATTTTTTCTGCGTGATTTTATTTTATTTTTTGGTGAAAACTTTATTTATGTTTACCCGGAAAAAACTTTTATATGTAGTCTTATCAAATAAAAAGGAAAAAAAGACAAACACCAAAATTTTGCGAACTTTTTACTAAAAATTGTTGGTCTAATTAAATACCCCAAAGGTTCATTATTCTGGGACAAGTGCATAGATAGTCAATTTTGGGACCTCAATTTAAGACATAACCAAAGTTTATAATTTCTTGTAAATTTTGCCACTTGAGAATTAACTTTAGACATATTACAAAATATATCGCCGTAAGTTATAAATTTTTTCTGAAGTCATATTGCTTGTGCAAGCAAACTTCAGATATATATTTTTGTCTGAACTTCAGATTTTGACTTGCTAGAGCCAAACATTAGACATTTATGCTTGAACTTCAAACATTTATTCCTGTAATTCAAACATTTCCGACATATTTGTCTGAAGTTGGCACTTCTGCANGGGGAATCAGAAATAGCCATTTACAATTATTAATTGAAAATTAGCCACAATTTTAAAAGTAATTAAAAATTAGCCATTTCATGTAAAAATAAAATCTAAACAAAAATGCCCTTAAAATCCGAAAAATATTTCAGCATAATATGCTAGAGTTCGGATTATTTACATATGAGATTCCAGCATAATATGCTGAAATTTTATTATGTGCTGGAGTTCCAACATAATATGTTAGAAGTTTATACGATCCATAATCCAACATACTATGCTGGAACTTTCCGTATTTCAGATAGAGTTATTGTCCAGATTTTATCTCCGCATAAAATAATAACTATTTTTCAATGAATTTGCTACTTTGCAATTACCAATCTGAAAACTGGCTAGCCCATACTATATTCACATGATGATAGGCCGAAGAAGACCCCTCAACCCTAAGAATACAAATCCACACCTAGTACTAGCAACTCAAAAGTCATACGTCCAGCCTCCAGGAATATTTAGTTGTTATATGCATGTTCCTGTTATTTCAAAAAAGAATGAAAGGGTTAAAGAATACTCCTGCTGAAATCATCTAGTTTTTTGTGTCAATCATCACGTAATTCGTATTTTCAAAATCTTACCTTTTTCTTTTGCCTCCTATTATCCTTCTTGTACTGCAGTACACTACCTAGGTGTTACTCAGAATAAAATGACAATTTTTATTCAATTGGGATTCTGGAGATCTTTTTCTATTCCCCCCAAAAAAATACGATTTATTTTCGAAAAGATAGATCTGCACTTCTATGTGCTTATTTTTTGTTCTCTGATTTCGTAGAAGAAGGAAAAGGAGGAAGAGTTGCAGCAAATAGGTCTCAGAAGTGATTGGACATTATGTTTGCAATACTAAAAATATAAGAATAAATTGATCCAACTTATATACCACTCCCTGAAATTAGAGGATGCTGTACAATGTAGAAATGGACACACAATAATTCTGAGACTACTGTTGAATTAGAAAAAAGGAAAGCAAGAAGTAAATGTTTGCATCTCCTTGTGCATTAATAATTTTTTGAAATGCACAAATTTATACTGATATCAAACTACTGTCACAAAGTAGTGTGTAATGATAGATTTTGCATCCACTGGCTTAAAATTCTGGCTTCGCCTCGGATATTACCTCACGGGAAACTACTATCACCTGCGCGTCTCATTTTGAGAAAGCTGGTCCCTGAGGTCCTTGAGAGCATCCACAACTTCTGAATCAAGGTTGTGCTTTAGCAATTTACCTTGCATAGAAGTAGATCTGTAAAGAAAATCAATAGATCATGAAACTATTAGCAATGCGTTAGATGTGAATGAAATTACAAGGGATCGAGGGATAAAGGATAATTAATTTCGGGATTAAATTTGAGATAGTTTATCCCACGTTTGGTTGGGATAAAATCGTGATATAACTAATTACGGGATTAGTTATCCCGGGATTGTAGTGTTTTTTTATCCTCATGGGAGGATGGGATAACTAATCCCGAGATTAATACCGGGATAATTAATCATGGGATACTTGTACCCCTAAGTGCGAAATCAAAACTGCCATTGGTTAGTCATACTATGACTTCCCGTTACTAGTTTCACCAATTAGTTTAACAGCTGGAAAGGGAAAATGTACGAATTCGACGGTTATATATGGGTGATGAGATTGAAATGTCCGCTATATTATTTAAATGATAACTTTTTCAAGGGGAGGGGTGAAACGGAAAGGGATAACAAAAACTAAGCAACATCACTACCCCATTTCGAATTTTATTGTGCAAATGCAATCATAAAAATGTGAATTGACAAACTTTTTTCATAAAAAAATTCTGATTATGTGTCCTAAACACCAAGAAAATAATTCACAACGAAACAATTGCCTCTTAGTTTAGCTTAAAGGCAGTTTTGTGAGGTACCTACTGTTAAAAGTCTTTTAGTTCTGGGGTAAACCTATTTGTCAGGCATAACGTAGCATTTTCTTTGTCATATCAAAAGAGACAAGACCTGACTAGAAAGTTCATTAGACTTCATTAACATGCTAGACTTTACATTCTCACTGGCTTAGCTGAGGACAAGGGTCCCTCCAAACCTCAACTAGAAATCTAGAATGAGCATAAAGTCTTAATCACAAGAAATGACTTTAAAACAACTTCTTCTTTTTTTATTTGCACCGGGTGTCCAAGTCTCTTTGAGCCCCGACTAATCCCGGGGGTGCACAGGCCCTCGGCAAGGAGTTTCCCGCAAGTGCACCACGGTTAATTCAGGTTTTACCCAATCCGATGGCCCTCAGAAATTGTTTACACCCAGTGAGTTTCGAACTTGAGACCTTGAAAGGGAGCAAACCCCAAGGCTCAAGTCAATTGCCACCAGGCTAACCCCTGAGCTTTAAAATAGCTTGGCACCTTATATGCTTTACAAAAAACAAGTGTAAGGTAAGTACAAGAACATATAATTGCAAACTAGCGTCCACTGTGTTAAATGTATTTCATTGAAAGGTCAAGAAGAATATGGAAAATGTGAGTGACGTCAAGCTTTCAGATGAATCTTTTTCCCACCTAAGGAGGTGGGGAATCTCCAGATTCGAGAAGAAATGAAAGAAATTCAAGCTACGCTACTTACCTATGTTCCCGCAGCATTCTTTCAACCTCCTTATGTGAAGCTTTGATCTACAATATCTCAAAGAATCAGAGAAATAACATCAGAAGGGAGCAGATTATACATAGCAGTAGTTGTTATTTCTAACACAAACACTTCATCAGAACATTCAAGCACCTATTCTTCATATCCATGAGATAATACATTTGTTAGACAATTTGAACTAAGACAAAGTAGGAAAAGGTGCCAAAGCCAACAATGCAGACCACGTCCTTTGGTCTCTAGTCCAAATGTAAGTTAGACTCAAAAGAAGACTATTCTACAGAGTTGTACAGGTATTGTACAAAAAACAATTTTATCAGTAAGTTCTTCTACAAAATACATAAGGGGCAAAAGAAAACTTTACAGAACAGTATCACATAAGCTCTTATACTATTACTACTCTGATCTAAGCCCGTGAACTTCCTTTTCGGACTAAACAAACCCGTTTCCTTAAGTTTAGACGATTAAGTTGAGGAGAAACTCTTGTATTTTTCCGTTAGAAAGAAAATGGAGAAGGAAAGAAGATACAAAGAGGATCAAGAAAGGAAAAAAATAGAAAGAAAAGAAAGAGAATTACAAATAGTAAAGAATTATAAACAACAAGAGATATTTTGGAAAAGAAAAAGGAAGCCTCTGAACATGAACATGCCTATTTTATGTTGAACCCTATGGGCCATTAAATTTAACAGGAAAGTGACACGTAAGCTCTTAATACTATTTTACTATCCCTTATAAAATAAATGAAGCTATTTTACTATCATCTAAGTCGTCAGTTTTTTATTTTGAACTCAAGAAGCTCCTTTGATAACAAGGCCGTTATAAGTTGAGGGGCAACAAATTTCCCGAAGGAAAGGAGATGGAGAAGGAAACAAGCAAAGTCTTCAACTTGCTTTGCATTTTTAATTCTGTTTAATTTTTTGGAAAACTTCATTTCTTTAATTTTCTTTATCCATCGCCGAAGACTAGAAATACATTTTGTTTTACTGGGAACTACACAGATAAGGAACAATAGGCCTGCACATAGTAAGTTTTGTTATGTAGAGTATTACTTGGTAAGGAACAATAATAGTTGAATGGACCAGGTTAGAAGCAGGGTGCATATTGCGAACTAGGATGTTTAGTTTGAGACATGTCCCACACCAGTGATTGTGTTCTGGAGCAATACCTCTCCTGGTTTCACAAGACTGAAGGTTTCCGAAATTTCAGAAAATTTTCCAATCCAGTCATGAGTTAGCCAGATTAGTAATAATTAGTTTCAGAAGAAAATGACCAATCCAAGCATTGCCAACCCACAAGCTTCTCCTTTATGTTGTTAAATGATCAAATTACTATAGCATGGAGCCATAGATCAAGCTTACTTAACTATACAGGGTGCACCGACGCTGGTCATGTTTTTGAATTTGACAAGACGAAACCTCCCCACAAGTAGATAAACAGAATTTGGAATCCTGTAGAAAATCATACAACGTGCTACAAGATTAACCCTGGGACCCAAGCAGCAAGTGGAGCTAAGAGTTAGACTCAATTGTTTTTCAGTTCAAAGAAATAATAAGGATAAAGGACCACTGCGATCTCCTCAATCGTAGTTCTTACAAGCTAACCAAACATCTTGCAGCGCAGATCTTAACATAAGGTTATACTAAGGGAGGGAAGTAAAAAGTGAAATGAAAATAATAGAAGAAACTTAATATCCTTTACTTCGGGTAAGTAGTAAAGCGAGAAATGAAGAAAAATTGAAGAAACTTATTTTTCTTTACTTCGGGTAAGGAGTACGGATTAGAATGCATTCAAACTTCTCTTCTCACTCAACGAAATAAAAACCCAAGGAAAACAAAACAAACCTTTATTATCTTTGCTCTTCATTATGCAGAAGAAACAAGAGAGAAAATTTTTGAAACTCCCTTTCTTTTGTTTCGAGACATAAAGTAACAAAGCAAATTGACAGATGAAAAGGATTTAAGCCGAGCACCATGAAGACGCTGATATTTGCACATTACCTCAGAGATTAACGCCTTGCAGCTCCAAACAAAAGCCCCCTGGTAAAACCGTCAAAGTTTGAACAAGAAAATCAGTCTCTACCCAAAGGATGTATAGGCTAGAGAATGGATGGTGATGAAAGGAGGTTGCTAACTGTGGCGGAAATAGCTATACATTTTACATTTTTTTTTTTGAAACAGATAGCTAATCCTTTTACTTCCATAGAAGATTAGAGTACCAGAAAATTTTGAAATACTTCAGTGCTATCATAAATATATAATCAGATTGGGAGCAGAGGGAAAAGTTATTGGTGCATTTCAACTAGCATATGAATCAGGAAATCACAAGCATAAGAACTTCACTTGAATGAAGCAAATTCTGAAAGATCCTGACATCTAAAACCAGCATGCAGATAACTCAAAATACCAGCAAAAGAAGTTTGTTTCTGCCTTCTAATTCAAGAGGTGATGTTAGTAATCATGCACCTTTTTTTGTTTATTTGATAAGTAACACTAACAAAGAACTATTTAAATCCAGACAATGTCCTTTGAACAAATAGATACAAAATGTGCAACTTGAAGTCTAGTCTTATGCCTAAAAAGAATAGCTGAGAAATGAAAAAGTTATTTGAGTTAATAGTGGAACAAATTGTTCTTTTCCTATTAGATCACATATCACAAGGTAGAAGCACCTACTGCTCCATAGGCTGCATGCTGCTGATTGTGATCAGATGTGACAACCCAGACCTTTGGACACCCATCCTCCCTCAATGCAACCACCTTTAAATGTTAAGGACACCAAATCTATCAGTGCATTATCAGCAAAATATTACAGATAAAGGTAGGTGCATCAAGCAAACCAGTTTCTAATATCCATTTTAAGGCCCCAGTTTTGCATCTAATGGTGGTTTTCAGATCACAATAAAAATGGAGAGGTAACTTTCAAGTCCAACCATGCCAAACACTATTCCCCCTTCAACCTCTCATGGTCCAAACTAGGGGTGTCAAATTTGGCCCAAGCCCAAATGACTCACCCAACCCGCCCAAGGTTGGGCTGGTTATTGACCCGCCCATTTATTGAACTTAGCCCATCTTGACCCAACCCATCTCAACCCATTTAAAGTTGAGCTGATTTTTAGCCCAAATTGATCCATGAATAACTTTTTCAAAATATCTTAGAAATAATTTTTTTTTGTTTGATAATGTTACATATGACCATAACAAAAGAAAAAAGTCTTATTTAGTAATTATACAATCCATAAGAGAATAACACATATTAACTAAAGTTTGATAAGAGTTGGACGGGTTTTAGCCCATCTTGACCTAGCCCATCTTAGCCCAAGTAACTTTTGGGCGGGTCATTAACCCAATGCAAGTCGGATTCCTTAAAGAATTAAATTCGTAGGATACAAGGAAAATATTAGCTGAAGGAATTCGTGTTGGAAAAGGATTCAATAATTATGGAAGTACTTGCATTAAAGGAGAGAAATTAGAAAAAATAAGGAAAACAAACCCTAAAAGGATTCTTTTCCTTAACCGATTTCTTTCAAGTTTTGGAGCATAAATTGGAGAAGGATTTCGTCCGACCTCATGCCTATATAAAGCATCACCTTGCTTCTATTGAAGCTAATGCTATTCCATGAAAATACAGAGAATCATTCAAAAAAAAAAACATTCATAGCAAGAAGGTGCTTTCAAGGATTCAAGTTGCTCAACTGAAGAACCAGGTCCAGAAGACGAAACTGCTGAAATTCTTTAGTTGTTTAAGTTGAGTCAATTGTTCTTAAATTGTAACCTATTTTGCTTTTGAGAAGTGTAAATGTAGGTGATCAAATTCTGAAGTGTTTTGTTTCGGTTTCTAAGCTAGAGTTAGTTTAGAAAATGGTAGCTACAATTGAGTTGATTGTAAGGGAATGGTACTAGAGTTAGTCTCATTTGTTATAGAGTTGTAACATAAAGCTTAACTACAATGGGTTAATTGTAGGGGTAGGGTACTAGAATTAGTCCCCTTGGTTATTGAGTTGTAACCTAAAATTGCTCTTTGAAGTTAGTGAAGTTTTGCAACAAATCCTACTGGGATAGGTTGTGATTTTTTACTCCCTTGAGCAAGGAGTTTTCCATGTAAAAATTGTTGTGTTGTTTATATTTTCACACTTCACTTTCAATTTTGTGTCAAAATAGTTTAGCCAAAGAATCGGGTTCTTTGGCATGCAAAAATTGAGTACGACACAATTCACCCCCTCCCCTCCCCTCCCTTTGTGTCTAGGTGCAACCTAAAATAATAATATTTAATGAATAGCCGAAGTTTAAAAAGTGTTTAAAGTTTAGTTGGATCAGAATCAAACTTTATACCCGACAGTCTAAAGTTTTAATTACTGATATGAAGTTTGAGTTGCTAAAGCCTAACTTCATACTAATAGTCTAATTACAGTTTAATTTCAGACCTTCGGGACGAAAGCGGAGCCTAATTTTAGTATAGAATAATTATGAATGACTCGGATGGGGCATACAAACAAAATAAGAATTTTCTAGCATAGATTATTTTAGTATAGAATAATTATGAATGTGTTGTGACAGAAAAGGCAAAACTTTGTAGTATAGGATAATCATTTTAAACTAATGTGGAATTAATATTTTTTTTTATCGAAACTCATTTGGATTATGGATCAAATCACATTAAAGGACAAATGGATCTAAAATGGGTATGACCCATATTAGCTTATGTGGCATTTATTTTTGAATTTTTATCATAAAATTTAATGCCATGTCATATTTATGGTAGTGGTTTGAGGCAAAATGACTTTTAAGTGACAATGATAAAGTTTAGTTACTTTTAAGTGACAAAAAATAGTTAAATGACTTTATTGAAATTGAAAGATAGTTCAATGACCATCAATGAAATTAACCATAAAAAAGGAGTATCAAGATAACATACTTCTTGTACTAACACACATAGTTTAAGTCATTTACTCACCAACTTGACAATAAAAAAAGATAAATCTTCTCTATTATTGAGCTTCATCACATTCTCACCTCCTTCTCAATCCATGCATCAGCACATGTTTCACTTGAGTATACTACATCAACACTGCAAAAAGAAGTAGCTGGTCATGGAACTCTACTACTAGACTGCATTCAATAGGACAAGAAGATAGATAAAACTAAGAAACCGAAAAATAGACACATAAATAAAGTGTCATTAAAGATTGACCATAACAAGTTTGGTTTCTGAATCAAATAACAACCAACAAGAAAAATATGATTATAAAATCAGATTTCTTCTTTAGATCACCTGAACATCTCAAAAGTGGAGAAAAATAGACTGAAATAACCATACTAAGAAAATTCTTGAAAGTATATTCAATTCAAGACTTAAAATCGTTTTTTTTTATTAAGCAACAATGAAGCAAGTAATTATGAAAACAGACATGATATCACATCAGGGCCCAAGAATATTTCACGAGCATGTGTCACTGATTTACTATTTACAATCAATAGCATACAGCATTAGTATGCAACAGCATATCCACATGTTACCTTTTGAAAGGAAGAGAAGAATCTGACTTCATAAGTTGAGACTACAACAATGACAGAACAAGCAGAAAAATAATAGAAAATTCTGAGTGCATGTCCATCAGACAGAAATATATCCAACAACAACAATTGTGTCAGTCTAGGCCGTGTCTCATATATGAATTCTCATATTTTCATTTAAGCTCAACTCAGATCATCAACATACCAAATAAAACAAAAGTGAAAAATAAGTTAATTATATATATAAATAATAGTAACTATAACAATAATATTAGAATTTTCCTATAGGTCGAAAACCTATTCTCAACTACTACTCCCTCTGTTTCAAAAAGATTGGCACTATTTTCTTATTAGTCCGTTCCAAAAATATTGCACCTTTCAATATTTCCTTAATAGGAAGCATTTATAGCCACACAAATGCTATGGCAGATTTCAGACCACAAGTTTCAAAAGTTTTCCTAAAGTTTTCCTACTATACAAATGTTGTGGCTTATTTAAAACCGCATATCGCAATAGTCTTCCCTTCTTTATTAAAGTTTGTGCCAAGTCAAACTAAGACAATCTTTTTGAAACGGAGGGAGTAGTAGATATCACTTATATCATACAGAAATATATCCACAGAACATAATTATGGGGTTGCTTTTGTTTGTATAATAGGAATTACCCCTCAAAGTTTTCCTTGTGTGTAGGTAGTCCAGACATCATGGCATCAAATACAGCCACCACTTTCACCTCTGCAATATACTGAAATGAGATGGCGACATTTTACCCACTGACAAGTGATTAGACATGAATAAAGTATACAAAGAGCAACTAATTTTGACGATACGGGATGTATACCAGCTTATTTCATATGCTAGATGCCAATTATCTGATGGAAAACAGAAGAAAACTCCAACATATAGCTTATGAAGAAAAATATAACAAGTGTTAGAGAAAAGTCACCTAATAGAAAACAGTAGCAGAATCTGTATCGGATGACTAGTTCAGAAAATACAACTATTAGAAGAAGGAATTAGCTTTTTCAAGTGATTCTTGAGATGCAAATATCTGATTGAGAATCAAGAAAGTTAAGCTTATCCCAGCTGGAAACCCTTTATTCATGCAATTGTAGAGCTGGGAAAGACCATATGTGCTCTAACAAGCGTTTATGCGACATAGAAACAGGCTCATTGAGGGATTTTAAAAAAAACCTCTTAGCAAACTGAATGATACAAGTTCATCAAGAAGCTTTTGACGAGCAATGTCAAGCATTCCATTCATAAAATGCTTCTTCAACTTTGGCCAATATCCACACACATTATATCCATCAACGAGCAAGACGGGAACAGCACCATCCAAGACCTGATTTGTACTACAGAAAGTTTAAAAAAAACAAGTAGATTTTCAATTCACCCATTATGATGTCTACTAAACGAGAAAATTCATTCTAGACAAGACCTGGAAAAGATTTACTAGTATAGTGCCAAAGTAGGATCACGGTAGATCTCTTCATCTTCTGGCAGTTCTTCCTTCTCCACCTTCTTCTTACGATAACTGGTTGCAGGCTTCGGTGTACTGGATTTTCTCTTTTGGAAGTCCTAAAGGATTTTTCCACAATATGAATTACTGAAAGGGATCGACCAAATCTAGTTACAGGCTCCATTGATATTAATTGAAGACTGACCTTCCATAATCTTAGAAACTGCAAATTCTGCTTCAAGTTTGATGTAATCCTTGGAGGAGGTGTCTCAGTATCCTATTCGAAGAAGTAAAGTTTTGTAAGATTTAAATGATTTAGCTGGACATTCAAATTAAAGAGCGATCTTTTCATTTCTAGGTGGAATTATTAAAGTATTTTAAAATTTGTAAAAAGTAAGCAAATATCGTTTAAAACACTGGGAAAGATTGGCAAACTAGGACTGAATTCCACTCGAAGGATTACTACATGGTTTGGTATCCCATGGCCATCCAAATAACTGTTTGCTGTAATTAGTTGTCAGCAACTGTAAATTTGATTCCAATTTAAGAATTTCTCAATTTGTTATTTCTTTTTTTTTAAATGTAATGAGATTTTCTCAATTATACTTTTGAATGATTCCCAGATAACTTTTCAATTGACCAGCTCCAGCTTCCACTTCTAGCACTTGCATGTCTAGTGGCCACAGTTGTGAACAACGTAGACTGTAGAGATACTGCAGCAAGTTATTTCATTTAAAAAATAACAGATAGCCAGAAGAGCATTTTCCATCACTTCAAAACAAATGGACTACCCATAAATTTGACAAAGCTGGCTAGTGTTTCAGTTCTTCATACTTCTATCCTTTCTGATAACTCACCTTATCCATAACATCACAAAGATTGTACTACTTGTTAAAAAGGAAGCCATTTATAGTACTTCAAGAAGAAGAAAAATCTTTTTCTTTTGGTAGAAAAATGATGCCAAGTTATGTACGATTCTATGGTATTGGCAACAAAGTACTACTTAGCTTCCAACTGCTGAATAACACAATGAGCAATTAGGGTCCTTATATTTTGAGATTTCCTTGGGTCATGATCAAAACAAAACTTTGCATCATATCCTATTACCCATATTTTATCTTTCCTTGTTAATCCTTAAGTCCAATTATACTATCTTCCCTCTAGTTTGTCATTACATGTGCTTTACTTCATACCTAGTAATCTTTCACATTCTAAAACAATTTTTTTTTTTTTGATAAGGTAAAAGTTTATTAAAAAGGTACCAAGATGGTACAAGAAGATACAAAAAACATCCCAAACAACATCATCCACCTTCTATCCTATCCCTCCTAGCATGTTCAGGAATTCCATATACTGATCCAGATTTCCTAAGGGGCTACATTTACACCAATAATACAGATTATGAAGACATTTATTCTTCATTCTAATAATGTGATTCCTATGCCCTTCAAAACAAGCTTTGTTCCTCTCCGGCCATAATGTCCATATGATGCACAATGGAACGGTTCTCCAGATTTGCTTTAGTCTTCTAGGTACTTTCTGAGATTGCCAATGGTTCTCCAGAGTTACTTTCTGAGGCATCACCCAAGACAACCTAAATCTATAGTACATTCTAAAATAAAGCATAACCAACCAGACAACCTAAATCTATAGTAGACCTTATTTCCTTTCTCTTTGTTGAACAAAATCTCTATAAGAATTTACATCTGATGATTCTCTAGATGAAATTTTACTGTTGAGAATGCTAAAATATGATACTAAATTTTGTTTTTTCAAAATTTGACATAACGTGAAAGGTTTTTTTTTTTTACTTTATTTACTCTAATTTCTAAAACAATAGCAACCATTTGTACAATGAATTCATTATGGTAAAAGCAAACTATCTGTTCGAAAGAAATTAAAGATTTACAATTAGGACAAAGCAGTAAGTATCTTTAAAGTAGTTGGTTCATAACAAAAAAGTATAAGTCCAACAGAGAAGGAAAATCCTCCTGATGAAATATTGAACTATAGTGGAGGTTAGCTCAAACCCAAATGTATTTTGTCCTCAATGAAAACATAATTAAGAATACACTAAGCGCCAATATTTAGGGGCGGAGCTAGCCTTCAACATATAGGTTTTGTTAACTTTGGTCCAAACTCTATATTTATGTTAAGAATTTCATTTAATATGTATACATTACTATTAATTTAGAACCCAATAACATAAAAAAGATTAGCCTGTACTAAAATCCTGTTTTCGCGTCTGCCAATATTATCATATACATAAACAAGAATCTACATAAAATGAGGAAAAGTAAACTACCTTAGGAGAAGGAGTCTCGGAATTCTTGCTCTTCTTAGCCACAATTCTAGAAGCATAGTTGGGTTTGATGTACCCATTACATGTACCACAGCCAATGTATGCCAATGCAAAGGCTGATAGTGATTCTGAGAAAGATATACCTTTCATGTCATGGGTGTAATACTACTTCATCATTCTTGATTTTCTTGAATTTCTGTGACCACTCACTTTAAGATAAATCCATCAAAATTCCCAATACAGTTATTTTCTGAGTAACCAATTCTACTTTGCTCCAGCACTAGTACTATGTTCGCGAACTTTCCGTCCCCAGTACAATGAATCTAATAGCTCTGTGATCGGTCTATTTTGCTTTCTATGTTGGTGGAGTACTTCAAAAGCAACAGCAGCAACTACCAGACCCTGACTTGTTGAGGAAAAAAGAGGAACTAATTAAAGATTATTGGAGTCGTGGCGTGAACATAGCCCCCCGTTTCGTTTTCACAACCTGCCCACTTGCCAGTTGTTACGGAAGGGTTTTGTCTGCTTGTCTTATCCTCTTCACCTATTTATGGAGTAATATGGACTAATAGTATGGGCGTTTAACGGGCTGGCCGGGACGTGTTGGACACACAAAAAAAATCAGCCCGTCCGTTTAACGTTGCGAGCTGTTAGCGGGCTGTATTTTTTTGGTTTTTTTTTTGTCCATCCGGGTTCGGACTTAGCGGGTTGTTAGCGGGCCGTGGATTTTTTTTTTTTTTTAAAGTAAATTTTATTTTTCTTATTCAATGTTATTGATACTTAAGTGTTTGCAAACTTTTAAGGCTTAGAATTAAACTTTGAAGTTTAAAGTTTTAAATTTGAAATTTGAATTTTATAATTTTAAAATTGAAATTTGAAAGTAAGTGGCTACAAAAAATTATTTAATAAGACCAATAGGCAATATATAAGGATAAAGTTCCGAAGACTTTCATTTGATATTTTGATTGAATAATATATAATACTTCAAATTAAGTTGCAAGTTCTTTTTTGATTTTGTTATTTTTGAACTTGCAAATTAAAAGTTTACAATAATTATAAAAAAAAAAAAAAGAAATAGTACATCACATGCTTTGCATCATTTTTGTAAGTTCATCCAAGTCAACATGAGGTTCTTGGTTTTCGGCATTGGTTGAATCAGAACCATAAACCATTATATCTCCATTTTTTTGGTCCTCCGCTTCATCTACCTCGTCACACCCTTGATTTCGTCGTTCTAATCTTATCCAATCTCTGAAGCACACTAGAATTTTCAAAGCGTTGCTACATAATGAATGACGGGTATCTCCTAGTTGCTGCCTTATTTGGCTAAATGCGCTCTCTGATGCGACTGTTGAAATCGGCACATTTAGTACGTCTCGAGGCATGGCCGAAAGAACAGGAAATTGATTTGAGTTGCTCCTCCACCAACCCAGTGGTAGAAATTCCTTTGTGCGGGGCTCTGCTGACTTTTGCAAGTAGAATTGAAGTTCATCAATATTCCTGCTAGGTTTGTTGATGCTCCCCTATTGTAGACCAAATCAAATAATCTTCAACACCATCATTATCATCCAAAGCACTGGTCCCAGATGTTGAAACTGAACTTGAAGGAATATTTGCATCTACAGCAGAAGAAGCATCAACAATGTTAGCATAATAATTATATAATGTTTCTAAATGTTTGTGTAGATTAGAAATACAAGTATCAATATCAGGAGTTTCAGTTGGTCCAATATCCATATAAGAATAAAAGCAGTGATTAATTGGCGACAAGTGGCCATTTTGATATAAGGGTTTAAAATAGCACCAATTAGGTAAATAGGGGGAATTGGGTAAAAATATTTTTTAAACGTATCTAGCATAGATTCAACAACAGAAGTATATCCTTCTTTCTTCTTCAAACTATGTAGTAAAAGAGAAATTTCAGCAATATGAACTAAACCATTTGCAATAGTAGGATAATAAGCTCCAGAAAACTCAAGTGTAGCCACATAAAATTTTTGTAAAATCTTTACAACATCTTCAATGACATCCCAAGTTCTAGATGTTAACAAACGGCTATG